CTCTCCCCCCCCCCCCCCGCGAGCGGGGACGGGGGCCACGCGCGGGCCCAGGTCGCAGCTCGATAAGAACCTGCGCGAGGCCGGTGGCCGCCGCGCGCGCTCCCTCGGCGCTGGCGGCTCGCGGCGGCCAGTTTTCCTCCCTCCCCGTCTTACTCCTCCTCCTCCTCCTCCTCCACCTCCTCCTCTTCGCCAGAGTCGCTCGCTGTCGCCGCCGGAATAGGACCTGTTCCTCATCGCCCTCCTGCTCATCTCTCTCCCTCCCTCTCGCCATCCTCCTTGCCCTCGCGTCCTTCCTGCAGGCGAGACGCTCCCCAGCGGGGGCCCCGCTTGCGCCCGGGGGCTCTGGCCGACCTCTCGGCCCGAGGTCCCCCAGCGGGGGCCCTCGCTTGCCCGCTGGGGCCCCAGCCGTGCCCTCGAGCGAGAAGAGCCCGGAGGAGCACGAGGCGGATGCATGTTCAGATCAGGTCGTGGCCCCAAGAGCGCCGAGCAGGATCGAGGTGATGCGCCCAAGCGCATCTGGAGGTCTCCCCCTCCCCTCTCCCTCGCGCCCGTCCTCAGTTTGTGTATTGCAGGTCGCCTTGTATGACGTTCCAGGTTTGCCCGGCGGCTGTCTGACCCGCACAATGCTCACGGCCGAGGTCACATTGATGTCGAGTGGGAAGGTACCAACTGTCACCCTGCATCGCCGTCGGCCCGATAAGGAGTACAGAGTTGGGTGAGGAAGTCCGCGCTGCAAGCATTGCGCTTCGGCGAGAAGGACGATACGAAGCCACGGCGCAGATCTCAGCCCAGCGCAACCCCGACGTGGCCCGTCACGAGGACGAGGACCGAACCGTGAGAATGAGGAGGAGGAGGAGGAGGAGGAGGAGGAGGAGGGGAAGGAAGGGAGGAAGGGAGGCAGCAGAGGAGGCGTGGGGGCAGGGTCAGAAGCGGGAGTGGGAGCTGCAGAAGGGAGGGGGAAGATTGGCATGGCAGAGGGGTGGTTTAGAGGAGCGGGCCCACCGCGCAGGCGACATCGAACCAGAACTGGGGTGTCTCTAACTCGCTGCTGCACGATATTCAAGAGGCTGTCGCCCAGAAGAAGCCATCGCGACCTCGATCCGACAAGGACCGAGGCCATGTGCACTCTACGGGCCTTACAGGGTCATGCGCCAGAATTGTGCTCTACTTCTGGATTTTCTCTCATGGCCGATGCCCTCCAGGAGCCGTTACCAGCGCCGCGTTATCCAGATGGCAATTTGGGTGTGCAGTCTGTGATTTGGGGCACCTTGACACATGCATGTGGCATTGTTGCTTGAAGTCTTTTGGTTTGTCAGCATCCGGAAAATATAGTGTCCCGCATATCCAGAGCATTGATATCCCTCCGGCCAATTCCATGAAATACGCGGTTCTCTCAACGGAGGAAGAACACTGGGACTCCCACCCCTAATTGGCGTCTGCACCACAGTCCTGGGGGTACTAAACAGTCTGCCCTATTCGACTCTTTGATTCGGCACCATTACCGTAGGGCATTCTTGGATGGGGTGTCTTCTTGTATGACGGTGAGTCTTCTGATCTATATTACCAGCTACTCTGAGCGCGCAACATCTTGATGCAGAAGCTGCGTAATCACGTCTGCAAAGCAGTGGTTTCAGCGAACCCTCTGAGTAGGCGATAGGCGGTCTCACGACTGACAATTCATGCATAAGCGCTTCGTCACCCGAAAGTCACAAGCCGAGCGGTCCCATATGTCACAATCCGAATCGGTACGCGACAGTACTAGTTGCTTGGTCTCTCTGTTGTTCCCCTCACCTCAATTTGTATCAGATGTGTTTATCCGTGATTGCTGAGTGCGCCCACTGTCGTCAGCTATCTGCCACTTCAGCATCACGCATCTGCTGGCCAGTTTACATCTCGTCAAGTTGCTGGCATCTGGCGTTGATTATGGTAGGTGTCTCTCGTTCACCAAGCTCTACCAGTACCTCATGGTGCAATCATGTAGTCTACTATCCTCAGGCCTTTCCTTTCTGCAAGGCCCGCGGCTAAAATTGCTTTTTTGAAGTGCGAGGGTCGTGCAGGTCACGTTGAGTATTTGCTGAACGGCCGGTCGGCTGCATGTGGATTGGGAACCGGATGGCCCCGCACTCGATTAGAAAGTGGTTTGCGATGGTGGACAGCCCCAGCATCAAGGGTGCGGCCACATGTGGCGCGAGAAGATTCCGCGAAGTTTTCGGGGCTCCGAGAAACATCTGAGGGTGCACGGGCGCGCCAGGAGACTGCTTAAGACAAGATCGGGTTTTGGGACAGGTCTAGGGATCGATTGGAGGCGGTCCTGAAGTTTCAGGAGGAACTTTCGAAACAGACCGGGACGAGGTATGCCGTCCTCAGGTGCCTGCTAATGGCAAGGATCGCTTCGCGAGGCCCCTAGTCGGTGGGACAGAGATGCCACAAGGTCCCGAAACACGTGGAAGTGGTATTTGTCATTAGCCCAAAACATACCCGGACCCGGGGTCAGCTGGGGTGAAAAGGGCCGCCCGCTAGAGCGTTTTCGGCCTTGCCGCCACCTCGTCTGGGTACGGGTCGGTGCCCGAAACAACCATACATACCCGGACCTAGCTGGGGTGGTGGTTGGGTCACCCCGTCTAGGTACGGGTATGTATGGCGGTTTCGGGAGCCGACCCGGACCCAGGGGGGGTGATGCCCCGAGGGCCCCTTGCCACCCCGTCTGGGTAAGGGTACGGGTATCTTTCGCGCTCGAGAATTTGAGAGATCCGAGGCCCCTGGACCTCCCGAAGTCCACGAGGGAGCCCCACACCTGGGCCACTGGACCTTCCAAGGCCACTGGTGAACCCTAAGTGGTCCAGGGCCCCTCGGCCTTCCAGAAGGAGGAGGAGGAGGAGGAGGAGGAGGAGGAGGAGGAAGAGGGGGAGGGAAGGAGGAGGAGGAGCACCCGCTTGCAGAGCGGGCTGGACGGATCGCGCGCGCGTCGATGCACTTCGAGGACTACCAGGTGGTGATGACGGAGGTGTGGGCCGGCGCCGGAGAGAAGGGCGCCAAGGACCACAGCCCGCGAGAGGAGGGGGCACGGAGCAGGATGACGTGGAGGACGCTGAGGAGGACGAGGAGGAAGAGGAGGACGAGGAGGAAGAGGAGGAGGAGGAGGTGGAGGAGGGGAGGAGGAGGAGGAGGAGGAGGAGGAGGAGGAGGAGGAGGAGGAGGAGCGTGGAGGAGGATGAGGAGGAGGATGACGAGGAGTAGGGGAGGAGGAGGGTGAGAGAGGAACGAGGAGGAGGAGGAGGAGGAGGAGGAGGAGCAGGAGGGGAGCAGGAGTTGGAGGAGGAGGAGGAGGAGGGGGAGGAGGAGGAGGAGGAGGAGGAGGAGGAGGAGGAGGAGGAGAGGGGAGGAGGAGGAGGAGGAGGAGGAGGAAGGGCAGGAGTTGCAGGAGGAGGAGAATGAGGGCCACGGCCCGCGAGAGGGATGCTCCTTTTCCCTCAGGCGGGCGGCCGTGCGACTGCAGCAGCAGGAGGAGAGCAAGAGGCCAGACGCCGACCAGCTCCCCTGACGTGGCACGCCTTCCAGAGATCACCAGACGTGGCTCGGCGCACCGTCGCGAGCCCCCAGCCTCCGCAGCCTGGCGAGTGCCCGGGCAGCTCGCCCCCTCGCAGCCGTCTGGCTCAAGCCGAGGGCGCGGGCGCGGTCGTGCAGGGGCCACGCGCTGGCCCCCGCCCGGCCGCGGAGGGGGTCGGCCTGGACGCGATGGCTGCGGCCGCGGCGAAGCCATCCCGCTCGATGCCTCGGGAGAAGCAGGTCCTGGGCCTCCAGCGTTTTGATCAACAAAGCCCCGGCGGAGGCGTCCTCTCGCCGCTTCCCGGCCCTGGGGACCCTCGCCGGGCCCCAGGACCTCCAGAGCACCACGCGGGGCGAGGAGAGCCTGAGCCAGCCCCAGGGAAAGGGTCTCGGGACTTCTGGGGGGGCCCGTGCTGAAAAGAAATCCAGGCATCGGATCTCTCGGGCGGCAACGGAAGCGCCGGCGAGGCTCCATCGACTCCGGGATGCTGGGGCCGGAGCTTCGGGGAAAAACGACAATCTCGGCCAGGCCTGGCTGGCGGCGCGCAGAGGGGGGCAGGGGGAGAGTGGGGAAGGCGTCTCAGACTTAGAAGGAGGCTGCTCCTTAGAAGGCGCTGGCCTTACATCCACGGACAAGGCCCTCGCCTCCTAAGAAAAGAGGTGCGTCGAAGAAGCTTCCCCCAAGGGGGGCCCGCAGCCCAGGCCCCCCCCCGAGGGGGACGCGAAGGGTGTCGCGCTCGGCGCGCGTCGCGGCCTCGGCCTGAGAGAGCTGCCCTTGCGGCAGTGTGTGGGGTTTGCGAGGGCGCGGAGAGATAGCCGCGCGTCGCGCCTCCCAAGGCGCCGTGCGCGAAGTGCGGTGGCCCACGAGACGTTCCTGTATTCCCTACGGTCGGCCCAGATTAGGAGGTCGGCCCTGCCAAATCAAGGGTAGCCTTGTGTGTCCTGCGCCTTGCGCCCCATGCTTCCTGCATTCCTGTGGCAATCTGGCCCTCGGACGGGTCTTGTGTCCTCTCGCGTGTCCTGTCCAATCGAGTCCGACTGTACTGTCGCCGCCCCGAACGTTGCCGACGTCGAGCACTCGTTCGGGCGCGCGCAGGTCTACTACGTGCTGACGCTGCTGCGGGTGAAGGGGGAGGAGATGGCGCCGAACGTGCGGAGGAGGATGGCGAGCGGGCAGGGCGTCGTCGCCAAGGGGCACCACTTCGAGGCAAGTGTGCTGGAGGATCTGGGGGCGGGGTTCGGGAAGTCTGTCTGGTGGCGGGGTCTTCAGTGTCCACATGCTCCTTGGCTCCCCCTCCTCCTCCTCCTCCTCCTCCTCTTCGTCCCCCTCCTCTTCCCCTTCCCCCTGAATGTGGTGACGTTTACCCGGCCGGCCATTTCAGTTCTTCTCGCCAGTGTTTTTGTTACTTCTGGGATGTTGTTGTAAATGAAGCCGCTGGTCAATCTCTGCCGCGTGTCGCCACGGAGTGCACTGGTGACTCGAGAGTTGTTGCGATCGTCCCCTCCTGAAAAAAGGAACATGACCGTGACATCATGGTGCGCCCGCTCCACCACGCACACTTACGATTGGTTTTATCCTGGGCAGGCTCGTGAGAAAGTCAATACATGTATAGATATGTATACGTCAATCTCTATATCAGAGTGCTGGGACCGAACGTCATGCACTGTCCCTCGGCGCGTGGCTGAAGTGAGGTTCCGCGGTTCGGACTGTCGTTGCGTTGTTGCGTTGTTGAGTTCAATTGTCACGTTCAAAGAACATTTTGTTGTTGATCCCCTCTCTGGTGCCCACTGTGTTTTTCAAGTGACGTGTCCCTCCCAGGGCTCGCACCCTGTTTTTCAAAGGACAAGCCGCGCCTCAAATTGGGTTGTTGGCATCCGAACTACAACAGCAAAGGTTCCCGCTCGATATGTCCTGGCAATTATTTTCAATCGCGCTATCGCGCGGGTCGTCCTTACACGTTATGCAGGCATCGCACTCTCGCACTGTACTTGTTGGCCGTGTATTTAACAGCCGCGCCCCCACCACGCAAGAGCCCGACTTCCTCACGATTTACTTGGGAGACGCACTATTACTTGAGATTTCCTCGCGATACATGCAGGACTGACGCTTCAGCGACCCGCCCATTTTACACGGCCGCCTGGGCCCGCCCGACCGACCCGTGTTAGGGTCCGCCCGCCCGACCCGCCCGTCTGGTTCTGCCGCTTGTTTTCCTGTTCCTAACCCCGCTCCTGCTGGTTGGTCCCTCTCTTGCTCCATCCTTCTCCCTCCTCCTTGGGGCTGCGCCAACTACACGTGGCAGCTGAGGAAGACGTATCCCCGAAGGTGGCACGATCGAAGACGAAGAGTGCGGGCATCGAGGGGCTAGGATATACATGCTGGATGACACGCGAGCAGATGATAGCGAACAGTCTTAAGATGATGGTTGATTTTTTTTGTTACCAAGAATGGTGATTGTTGATCCCCCCCTCCCATGCCCACTGTGTTTTACACTTGAAGTGCCCTTCCGGGGCTCGTACCCTGGTTCGTGCGCGCCCTGATTACTACAAGGGGAAACCTTGCGCCTCAGATTGGGTTGCCGGCCCAGGAGCTACAACAACAACGGCTCCCACCAGATATTTCTTCACGGTTGTTTCACGATCACTCTCGCGCGGGACGTCCTTACCATTTATTCTGGAATCGCGTTCCCGCATCGGGCTTCCTTGCAATGTATTGCTGCGCCGCACCCGCGACACTCAGGCATCACGCTCCCGCTGCGGACTTCCCAACGATTTACGTGGGACCATCAGTGGTGAGGAAGATTTAGGCGACACGCACAGCCCGCCCTCCCGACCAGCCTCGGGGTGCGACAGAGCGAGGTTAAGTATAAAGGAACACACTGGGGAAGGAGGAGGAGGAGGAGGAGGGGAAAGAGGGGGAGGAGCAGGAGGGGAACGACGGAGGAGGAGGAGGAGGAGGAGGAGGAGGGAGGAGGAGGAGGAGCGAGGAGGAGGAGGAGGAGGAGGAGGAGGAGGAGGAGGAGGAGTAGGAGGAGGAGGAGGAGGAGAGGGGGAGGAGGGGGGGGAGGAGGAAGGAGGAGGAGGAGGAGGAGGAGGAGGAGGAGGAGCAGGAGGAGGAGGGGGGGAGGAGGAGGAGGAGGAGGAGGAGGAGGAGGAGGGGGGGAGGAGGAGGAGGAGGAGGAGGAGGAGGAGGAGGAGGAGGAGGCGAGGAGGAGGAGGAGGAGGAGGAGGAGGAGGAGGAGGAGGAGGAGGAGGAGGAGGGGGAGGGGGAGGAGGAGGAGGAGGAGGAGGAGGAGGAGGAGGAGGAGGAGGAGGAGGAGGAGGAGGAGGAGGAGGAGGAGGAGGAGGAGGAGAAGGAGGAGGAGGACTGACGCTTCAGCGACCCGCCCGCTTGACCCGGCCGTGAAGGCTCGCCCGCCCGACCCGCCCGAGAGGGCCCGCCCGCCTGACCCCGCCGGTCTGGTGCTGCCGCTCGTCTTCCTGTCCCTGGCCCCGTCCTTCCTGCTGATCCCTCTCGTGCTCTATCCTTCTCCCTCCCTTGTGTCCCTTTCTTCTGTCCCTCCTCTCTTCGCTCGCTTTAACGGCAGGCGCCAACTACACGTTGCAGGTGAGGGAGATCGCCCCCCAAAGGGGGTATGATCAAAGACGGAGAAGTTGGGTATCGAGGATTTGGGATATATATGTATATATATATATATATGTTGGATGAGTGGCAAGAGCCAGCAGTATTTAAATGTTTGTCGAATTCTCATTCCTAATAGTTACTGTTGGTTCGCCTGCGCGGTGCACATTGAGTTTTTCAATTGAAGTGCCCCTCCCGGGGCTCGCACTCTGCTTCGTAACAATGGAAAGTCTTGCGTCTGATATTGGGTTGCTGGCCGCCGAATTTCAACAACAATAACAAGAGCTTCCGCCTGATAGTACCTGCGAGTTTTTTCAGAATCGAACTCTCGCGCGGGACGTCCTCACAATATATCAAGGAAACGGCCTCGACCGTACTTTCTCCCAATTGATTCAAGCGCCGCACCCCAAGCTTTTAGGTTCACGCTCTCGCTCTGGATGTCCTCACGGTTTACTGGGGAACAGCGCCATCGCTCAGAATTTCTTCGCGATTCATGCAGGACTGACGCTTGTGCGATCCGCCCGCCCAACCCCGCTGTTTGGGCCTGTCCGGCCCTCCCCGCCCAACCCGCCCGTCTGGTTTGCTGTTTTTTTTTATCCTGTCCCTAACCCCTCCCGCTTATCTCTGTCGTGCTTCATCTTTCTCTCTCCTCGTTGTCCCTTTCCTCTCCTCCCTTCCCTTGTTTCATCGGCTGCACCAATTACACGTGGCCTTTAAGGACGATGTAATTCCAACGGGGGTATCATCGAAGACGAAGAGGTCGGGCACCGAGGGTTGAGGGCACACATGGGTTATCACATCAGAACAGAATCGATAAAACCATCTTACAATTCTAGTTTCGTGGTTGTCGTTTTTCATTTCCATTGAATCTTAGTTGCTGGTTCTCCCCCCTCCCGTGCCCGCTGCGTGTTTCAGTCGAAGTGCCATTCCCAGGCCTCGTTCGTATCTGGTACAAAGGATTATCTTGAGACCCAGACTGCGTTGTTGGCCCCAGAACTAGAACAACAATCATGTTAATATTGTTCGCTCTTACTTGCGCGCGTGCCATTCAACACGTAAGCCCCAAACCCTCGATACCCGCCCTCTTCGTCTTCGATCGTGCCACTGTGTTTTATTTGCGGCGTGTATTTCATGCAGCACCTATGGCAGGGGAAGAGAGGTCGGATGGAAGAGAGGGACAAGGGGGAGGGAGGAGGATGGAGCACGAGAGAGAGAGGGAAAGGCAGAGAGAGAGAGAGAGAGAGAGAGACAGTAGCAGGAGGGGGCTAGGGGCAGGACACACGTGGCAGCACCAGACGGGCAGATCGGGCGAGCAGGTTGCTTGCTGAAGCGTGCGTTCTGCATGGATCGCGAGTCTCGAGCCAAGCACATCATGAGACAGGCCAAAAGCGAGAGCGTGATTCCTGAGTGTCGAGGGCGCGGCATCCGAATCCATTGTGGAGAAGTCCCGCGCGAGAGCGCGAAGTCTGCATACCTTGTGAGGACGTCCCGCGCGAGAGCGCGATTTTGAATAGTTTGTGAAATGCAGTATCGGGCGGGAGCCTTTGAACTCTCATAACTGGAGTAAGTATCAGGGGGGAGCCGTTGTTGTTGCAACTCGGGGGGCAGGGGCCCAATTCTGAGATTCACGAGCTTCCCTGATTCATTACCATGGCGAACCGCCCAACCATGTGCCGTTGCTGATACCTCGTTGTGGGCACCGCTTTCGGCGGAGCTTCCTATGGGGGCGCGAAGCGCGTGAGTGGTGTGCCCGATATGGAGGCGGCGGTGCCATGCGAACCCTGCCACTGGGGCCTTCGGCGGAGCTCCCTATGGGTGTGCTGGAATAGAGGCGGCGATGCCATGCGAGCCCTGCCACTGGGGCCATCGGCGGAGCTCCGTTATGTGGCCACGAAGCGCAGGAGGGGTGCGCCGCAATGGAGGCGGCGGTGCCATGCGAACCCTGCCACTGAGGCCTTCGGCGGAGCTCCCTATGGGGTCACGAAGCGTGTAAGGGGTGTGTTGCCATGGAGGCGGCAGTGCCATGCGAACCCTGCTACTGAGGCTTTCGGCGGAGCTCCCTAACGAAGCGTGTGTGGGGTGTGCCGCCATGGAGGCGGCGGTGCCATGCGAACCCTGCCACTGCGGCTTTCGGCGGAGCCCTCTATGGGCTATGGGGCCACGAAGCGTGTGAGGGGTGCCGCCATGGAGGCGACGGTTCCATGCAAACCCTGCCACTGAGGCCTTCGGCGGAGCTCCTTATAGGGGCCACGATGCGTGTGAGGGGTGTGCCGAAATAGTGGCGGCGGTGTCATGCGAACCCTGCCACTGAGGCCTTCGGCGGAGCTCCCTATGGGGTCACGAAGCGTGTAAGGGGTGTGTTGCCATGGGGCATCCGGCGGAGCTCCCCATGTGGCCACGAAGCGTGTGATGGGTGTGCCGCCATTGGGGCGGCGGTGCCGTGCGAACCCTGCCTCTTGGGCCTTCGGCGGAGCTCCCTATGGGTGTGCCGGAATAGAGGCGGCGATGCCATGCGAGCCCTGCCACTGGGGCCTCCAGCGGAGCTCCCTATGGGGCCACGAAGCGTGTGAGGGGTGCGCCGCCATGGAGGCGGCGGTTCCATGCGAACTCTGCCACTGAGGCCTTCGGCGAAGCTCCCCATGGGGTCACGAAGCGTGTGGAGCCAAGGCAATGGGGGGAAGGAGGACGGGGAGAAGGAGGAGGAGGAGAGGAGGAATGAACGCGGGCCGCTGTCTTTTCAAAACGAGGACCCAACACCACAGGATGGTTGGGAAAAACAGGGTGCGAGCCCCGGGCAGGGCACTTCAATTAAACAATACAATGTGCCTTGGAGGGGGGGGATCAACATTGATTCTTTGTCCGTAGTGAGAGTTCAGCGGCTCCCGCTCGATACTTTTTCAAATGTATTCAGAATCGCGCTCTCGCGCAATACTTCCTTGCAATGTATGCAGGGGTCGCGCTCCCGTTTGGCAATTCTTCGCAATGTATTCAGACGCCGCGTCCCCAACACTCAGGAATCACGCTCTTGCTCGTGGACTTCCTCACGATGCACTGGAGAATCACGCTATCGCTCGAGACCTCCTCGTGGTTCATGCAGGACTAACCCTTCAGCGACCCGCCGGCCCGCCCGTCTGGTTCTGCTGCTTGTTTTCTTGTTCCTAACCCTCCCCCTGATACACTCTTTCGTGCTACATCATCTCTCCTCGCTGTTCCGTCCCTCCTCCCTCCCGGGCCTTCGCCAATTACATGTGGCATGTGAGGAAGATACACCCTCCAGGGGGGTATGATCGAAGACGAAGAGGGCGGGCACCGAGGGATCGAGATGTGCACTTTGGATGACACGCGGGAAGAAAAGAGCAAGCCG